TAGCGCATCAAAGCGTCCTATACGTCTACTTTTGCTGTGACTTTGGAGATGGTACTGCTACATATGGGGTATATTATTGGGGTTATATAGGGATAATGGAAAAGAAAATGGAAACTACTATATTATAATCGGGTAGATATTGGGGTTATGTTGAGTAGCGTATTTTGGTGGTTGAACCTAGTAAGATTATATCCCGTATATAAAATAGTATACCCCAAAAGGAGGATACAATCTTGCTCTTTATTGGGTACCATAGTATCCCCAAATAAAAAAAAAAAAAAAACTACTCACCTGGGATGGGTTTATCAAGGGTTTCAGGCTTGTACCCCTGTGGTGGTACCCCCTGGGTTTTGGGGTCCTTTTAAGGGACTCTAGGGGACTGCATTGGCTGATAAAAGGGTTATTTTAGGGCTATATTGGGAAAACCCTTTAGGGGTACGACCTTAGGGGTACAACCCAAGCACCTTAGAATTAGGAGCCTCCACGCATTTGATTCTTTTGGTTTTTATATGGGAGTTTACAGGGATCAAGGTGCACTATCACTATGGAATCCTTCCCAAGACCTCAACCCCAAACCCTAGACCCCAAACCCTAGACCCCAAACCCTACCCAAGCCCTAAGCCCTAAACCCCAAAAACCCTAAACCCTAAACTCCTAAACCCCAAACCCAAAACCCTAAACCTCAAACCCCAAACCCTAAACCCTAAACAGTAAACCCTAAACCCTAAATTCCTAAACCCTAAAACCCTAAACCTACACCCTAAAATCCCAGCGGCCAGGGAAGCTCCCAGGAGTGCTACATCCGTCTCACGGATGCCACGCCTGGGCTGCTGTTACAGAACTTAATTTAAGTTACTATATTGGGGAAACTCATAATGGGGTTTAGGGTTTAGGGTTTAGGGTATATTGGGGAAACCCTTTTTTTTCCTATATATACACATTATGGTAACTTAATTTAAGTTCCTTAACAGCAACCCAGACGCATGAGCAGCGCAATGCGCTGCGTGAGAACTCCAACCTCGTGGCTGGCTTTCTCACACTTCTGGGCGTAGCCTTACTGGTGGTTAGGGTTTAGGGTTGAGGGTTTAGGGCTTAGGGTTTAGGTTCAGGGTTTAAGGCGACACAATTCCAATTGAATCCCCATATGATCTATTCCTGGTGGTTAGGGTTTAGGGTTTAGGGCAGTTTAGGGAATCAAGGAATACAATCCCTATATGATCTATTCCCTTTTTCCCTACTCACCACCGGTAAGTAGCTTTGAAGCTCCACCAAACTGATCCTCGAAGGCAAGCTCTTGGGCAGCTGCGCGGACTCCAGCGTAGACAGCTGACCTACTGGGCTGCTGTTAAGGAACTTCAATTGAGTTACCATGATCACTGTATATATAGTAACTGATAATTATGGTTTCCGCAAAATAACAATTTAAATTAAGTTCCTGAACGGCCGCAACCCGGCCTAAGAGTCGGAAGATGAGGCAGGGAATTTCCTGCAGGACAGATCGCATAAACTCCACCAGCCGCGCCGAGTAGTACCCCGACACCAGGGACGCGTGAGACGAGTTCCCTGCCTGCTTAATGCGGCGGAGAGGCGCCTCCAGGGGTTTAGGGCTCAGGGTTGGTTCAGGTTAGGGTTGAAGGTTTAAGGTTTAGGGGTTAGGGTTTAAGGTTTCGTGTTTAGGGTTTAGGGGAGAGAGGCCTCCAGAATGGAAGCGAGCTTCAGAAACAGTGCCCTGAGTCCTTTGACGCTGTCCGGTGAAGCCTGGGCTGCTGTGAAGGAACTAAAGTTAAGTTACTAGCATAAGGAAACCCTATCATCTACTATATACATATACCTATAAATATGGTAACTTAAACCCTAAGCCCTATATACCATCATACCTATAAATGTGGTAACTTAAACCCTAAACCCTGTATACCATTATATACCTATAAGTATGGTAATTTTAACCCCAACCCTAAACATTATATACCCGTAAATATGGCAACTCAATCTAAGTTCCTCAACAACAACCCAGAAGCAGCCAGCAAGTTGCCCATGTCCTCCTTGTAGGTTCCCAAGGCACGCCAGGCATAGGAGAGGTCTGCAACCGTCTCGATGGTTTCGAGAACGTCCGTACTGAGGCTCGCGGTACGGAGCATCCTGAGGAGTTGTTTAACGAAGGGAGTTGGGCTTTGCAGAAGATTAGAAACACCCCTGAGAGGTAGTACAGGAATTGCACTCGGGTCATCTCAGAATCGTCGGTGTATGTAGGGCAGTCATGGGCAATCAGGATAAACCTTAAACCCTAAGCCCTGAGCCCTATACCCTACACCCTGAGCCCGAAAGATCCCCCAAGGGTTTAGGGTTTAGGGTTCTCAACCCTAAAACTCTAAACCCTAAACCCTAAACCCTACACCCTCGCCTCTGGAGCAGAGCGCGGGCATCGCTGAGGAAGTGCAGAATCTGAGGCTGCTGGCTGACTTCATGGAAAAGGGCCACCTCCTCTAGTGCCTTGTTGATCTGCGCCACCTGGGTTTAGGGCAAGAAACCCAAGATCCTCAGCAAGCATCCGGACACCCACCCAGTTGTGCCAAAAAATCTGGAATTTTCTAGGCTCATAGCCCGCCAAAAGAGTTTAGAATCCATCCTGAACCTTATAGATCCCACACCTGTCAGAAAAGTCTACAACCCCTTTACCTTGAACTGGCCTTTGGCTAGCCAGGAATCAATGAATTTATCCTTCTAGGTTCTCCCTATTTTCCAGAATAAATTGGTATCCATTTTCCTTTGCATTCCTTCATTCCCAGCTAACCAAAGGCCAGCCTAAACCCTAAACCCTAAACTCCCTATCTATATATATATATATACATCTCCCTATATTACTCTATGTAATCCCACCTTCCTTCCCAGCGCCAGGAGGTCCTCCTGGGAATGGAAGCTCAAGTTCTCGATTCGCTGCTGCAGAGCCCGGAAGAACTCCTCCAGCTCCTTGCTGCGCACATGCAAGGATGTAGGTTTCAGGCTTCATAGGCTTTATCGCTCAGGGTTTCGGGTTCTCAGGCTTGAGGCTTTATGGCCCAGGCTTTCAGGGTTTCAGGGTTTAGGATTCAGGCGCTCCTCGTTCCGCACGTTGCGCCGCAGCGCGTGTTGGCCCGAGAAATAGACTGCCAGGTCATCCATGGCTTGTGCAGCTTCATCTTTCCTGGGCTAGGTCTGGATATTGGAAAACACATGTCCCATGTAGCCTTTGGAAGGGTGCCCCCTATTTTGAGAAGCGTGCATTTCGGAAAACTTCATGTTCTGTGTGTAGGCGGCACGAAAAGTCTTCGCGTTTCCGACGAAATTCCCTTCCCGCACAACGAAAGCTCCACCCATTCTAAATCAGAATAACCATAACCCCAACGCCTGAGCATCGCTTGAGCGTAACATATCGGGACTGTCAGCAGGAGAACCCTAAACTTCACACCCTAACCCTAGACCCTACACCCTAAACCCTTGACTCCCTAAACTCCAAACCCTAAGCAGGAAGAGTGGGAAGATTTTCATCTCAGCAAAGTCACAAGCGGGTCCAGTCAGCGTCACGCCGCGCCACCAGTGGGACCAAGATGCCTTTGACCTTGTCCTCATTGGAGCTGCAAACTCTAGGATTAAGGTTTTCAGGGTCTCCGACCGAAGTTTCGGGATGCACATGAGTCCGATGTAAGTGTAGAGAAGTACGTTATGTTAAGCCCAAACCCTGAACCCTCAACCTCCCTAAACCCTAAATATAAAAACCTAAACTCTGAACCCTCAACCTTTAGATAGCCCGGCTCAACCCCAGTTGACAGAGCCCGTATCGGGATAATCATCCAGAGTTGTACCCCAAGGTCGTAAACCTAAAAAGTTGTCTCATGGCCGCAGTATAGTCCTTCTATGAACGAACGTAGTGCGGTTCCTGGCAAAACCCTAAACCCAGGTGTACAACCCTGAAACCCTTGAGACAAAGAGCGTGAACTAAACACTAAGCTGATCAACCTATCACTAGCCATGAAACCCATAAATCCTCAACCCTAAACCCTAAACACTGACCTCCAAGTCCACGTTTGACCCCATTTAGGGGTTTAGGGTTTAGGGCCCGAGAGATCCTCCAGCAGCGCAGTGTCCACCAGAGTTCCCAGTAGCTGCTCCTTCATCTTGGCCGAGCTGTTGCAAACCACCTGCAGGGATTTTAGGGGTTTAGGGTTTAGGGGTTTAGGGTTTAGGGGTTAGGAGTTTAGGGTTTAGGGGTTAGGGGTTTAGGGTTTAAGGGTCCCTAAACCTTAAACCTTTAGAGCTTAGGGCTTAAGGGGACCTGTGGGGCACAAGGTTTAGAGTCCAGGGCTAAGGGTTGCTGGTTTAGGATTCATGGCTTGGCGTTCAGAACTCAGAGTGTTAGAGTGTAGCTTTGCGTCCGGGGTTGCCGAGCTAGGTTCAAGGGTTTACGTTGGTGAGGGTCTACGGTTCAGAGTTTGGGGCTCATGAAAAGGCGCAGCAGCCCTAAACCCTAAACCGTACGGTGCTTTGGTATTGTGAAAACCTGGAAGAATCGCAAAGCAAATGAACCCGGGCAACTACACACACCGTTTAGGGTCTAGGGTTTAGGGTTCAAGGTTTGAAGTTTTTAGGTTTAGGGCTTAGAGTTCGTGGATAGGGTTAAAGGTTTACGGCTAAGGGCAATTACACAAAATGTTTTCATCATGAGCTACGCCCTCTTTACTGCCCCTCAGGTTCCCCCTAAGTTAAAGTTAACCCTCATTTGTTGAGGAGTCCTAGTCAATGGGCATCTAGGGGAGGTAGCATGGGGTGGATGATACCCTGAACCCCAAGCCCTAATTAATTCCCGAAATCTAGGGGAGCCGATGATTTAATGAGGATTTTGACCAGGAAGCTCTTTGAGCATTGCGAGCATGCAGAAGTAAAGACATCATGTCTTGCAGGGTAGTGATTGTAGGAAGTACGACAAGGGATTCTTGCTGCTTTTCCCAAGTGGCCAAATCACTGGCCTTGAACCTCCCACCCCCCAACCCTAAACCCGAAATCCT